GGGGGGGGGGGGGGGGGGGGGGGGGGGGGGGGGGGGGGGGGGGGGGGGGGGGGGGGGTATTTCCGACACCAGCACCAGGTGCCGTTCCTTCCAGGTGCCGTCGAAATCGCCAGCCTTGGCTCTTGGCTAAGCAGTATTGCCATTCGAATTGTGTGGCTTCGGAGTCAGCATTTCCCGGAAGTCTACGCTAGCAAACGCTAACAAACACTCGCTGTGTTGCTACGTAAAAATATCTCTACACATGAGCAAGACAGTCACCACTCGGTCGGCCATTCTTAATACACGCCAATGCCGACACACCTGAGCAGCGTTGGTCATGTCCAGTCCCAGCTTTGCAGTAAGCTGGCTCACTACTGCCCTGTCCCTGTCTTCCATTCTGGCGAAAGTCAGGGCGTCGCGAACCGACAAGGTAGACGCCTCCTTCTCCTTCGGAGCGGGATAGAAATGCACGATCACCACGCCACCGGCGGCCAAGCGGAGAGGAAAACGACAAAACATTCGCGACGGAAACGGGTACAGATGTTTGCTTGTCAGTGCTTCCGTCGGTGCACAACCTAGTTCCTATTAATGGATAGGGTCAGTGCACATCCTAGTTCCCACCAATTGAAAGCCCCCAATTCAACCCCCCATCTCCGAAGGACCTGTTGATAAATATTTAATTCAATATTTCCGTATCTTCCTAGGAATCCCAGCAACCTCTACTACAATGAGGAGATGCGTCAACCAACAACCTATCCCCCTCTACGGCGTACCACAGTCACCCCTACCTTGAAGGCCGCGACTTCGCCCTCGAGCCTCTCGACGTCCCGGTCGCGTTTTTCCAGTGCCAGCTGCGCCGCACGCCGGGACCGGACCTCCCTTCCGAGGCTTTCATTCATGAGTCGAGCCTACACAGCGGCCGTACAAGCATCAATCAAGGGTAAGGGTTACTCGGCAAACGCAGAAGAGACTGCTTTGATTAATGTTTTTTCGTGGGGCTGGTGGAATTCCGGTGGGCTCTATGCTACGCGAAAAACAGGATTCTCTACGGTTATGACCGCCGGGATCTGTTGGCGCGGTGTGCAAAACGTTCTCTCGATCTTTACTAGAAAACGTGTTCAGCGATCTGAGGCAACACCTTACGGCCCGAACCTACATGCTTAGGCGCACATTGAACAAGCTTTCGCTACTAATATCTCACTTCGACTTCGACATGTTGTTGCCCGGACGAACCATCGAGTTGAAACTGGTCCGACCCTTCGACGCGAGGTGCAGCCCAGCAGTCGCAAGCAGGCAAAACCAAGTCACAGATATAGAAAACAAAAGGTCTTCCATACCATGTGCGCAAAACGCGCGAGGTTTTTGATAGAGCAACACGTCAGTTTCCATTACACCTCGCCCATCATTATTGGCCAGGCCACTCCCACACCTGCGCTGCCGCCGTTCTCCCCGGTGACTCCGAACGCCCCCTGGCCGACACTGCCGACGCTCCTTCCTTCCCTCCCGAGATGTTGCTTTCCGGCAGGGGCAGCGTTTGGTGCAAGGTCTTTCGGGACGCGACCGGCGCATTTGGCTTGGAAGCGCTCGCCTGCTGCGTCACGGTTTTCCTTGGTCCGGGGTTACTGCCGTCCAAAGTCTTCTTGTCGGAATAAGGGGTGGCGGCCGCCGCTCGGAGGAAAGCAAGCCCGGCGTCAAGCTCGAGCTTTCTTGCGGTGAGGTGAGTGAGGTCCGTGTCCTTATTGTTTTTTGGAAACGGCATTGGGCACGCGAGGGAGGGAATGGTCGTGTCCCTCGTGACCGTTAGTCTTCCCATGTGCTCGTCCGTCATCCTTGCAAAGCCGGGGGGGGAGCCCATCGAATCTCCTACCACTAATTTGGCAATGCACCAAGCGCGGACTGCCTTGGGCATTCGGGGCAGGCTTGAGTAGTGAGATAACTAGAGAGAGAAACGAATGGGGAGAGATCACTTACAAGTATGATAGTTGTTTGTCCACGAGCAACTTTGTTGTTCTGTGTGTGTTCAATTCTCTTGCTTTCACCCGCGAGAGGGTAGTGGGTTTGACAAAATAAACTTTCGAAATTCCAGGAAACCCATCCCAATTGCACATGGTGTAAATGCACCGCTGCTATTCCGTTTTTGTGGGAGGGATCGGCTTTCCTTTCGCTTTTGGATGATGCTCCTTCTTTTCACGGGCAAGACCAGCTGGTTTATATCAATACATCCATTCGAGGGCATTCGAGGGGGGAATGCTAAGCGATTACCTCGGTCGATGGTTTTGACCAGTACAACACATCACCACACCAGAGAGTTTCAGATGTCAAGGGTTGTTTCGACTCTACTTCTGTGAGGGTCGAATGGCGGTACCACCACCGTCTTCTTCCACACCCCCAACTCGTTCCGCATTCCGCATTCGCCCCGTTCCTTTCTCACCATCGATAGAACCAGGTGGCCATCGGAGTCTTCACGGAAGCCTAGAGCTACCATCAGCTCCACCCCGCCTTGTACCGCAACTACGTCCCTCAGGAATACCGCGTTTGAGGTGTTGACAACACGGTACTGTCGGCGTGGATAGGACGGTAGTGGCGATAACAGCAACCCGTAGCGGAGAACATGCAGTGAGTCGGCGACGGTTTCAAAAGCTTGGTGTGGCTAGATGGCATGGTTGGCCTACAAGATGGATGCGGCCTGTCCCTCGTTTACTATTTCTTGTTTGCTATTTTATACCTCCTTTCAGCTGAAACGTGTTGGGAATCTACACCCGGCAATGACGTAGCCATCCACGCTTTGTGCGGAATTGTGGCGGGTTCATCCGAGCGGGGGCACCCCTATGTACACATGTTAACCCAGGGAACGCAAGGACTAAACGGCTGGTACACTCTCCAACCTTATTCCTATATATTGGTATCGAAAATCGTGGTAGTGTATTTCGCCTCGTGTCGACGCACATTTGCCGCGATTTTGGAAAGCAACCGCCCTTTGAACATCTAATATAGTCGAGGGGTGAGCCGCGTTGATCCCGTCCTTAAGAAGAGCAAGAAGGTCTTCGTATTGATCGTGAGAGAACTTCAAAGTCCGGAATGTCAGGGCACCACCCGGGGGAGCTAAATCCGCCACCATACGCGCGTATCGTAGATTCTGTTCACCCACCTTGCCCATCGTCGGGTGTTCCAAGGCGTTTCCGAGGTATTTCGCGGCGGTTTCGACACACCGCAAGTGAGGACCGGCGTTGCCCGTGGAATCCCTTAACCTTGCCACGGCGGCTGACACCGCAGCGAGGTCGGCCACTTCCGGGTGGTCTATCCCGCGCATTTGGGCCGCCAGCTCCTGGTCGTTTGGGGGTCAAAGGGACGGGGTTAGGGTCGTCAGCTTAGGGTTGGTTCCGTCTGCTGCTTTTGGCCTCGATCCACTTGCTTGGGATTTGCATCACAGCGCTTCCTTGTCGCTACTTTAATACATCTTTTTGCTGCACAAAATAGGGGTCGCATCCTTTCGTATGTTTTAAATGCCCGGGGGGCATACGCCATGGAATGGGAGAAAACAATGTGAGAAACCCTCACGGAGGAGGCAGAGGGCGACAAGAGAGTTAGCCACTTCCGGGCGGTCGTTGTCACACAAATAGGTAGGCATCTCCGTCCGATTGAAAACAGCGGAGACTGGTGCCCTCCGTTGGTGTGGAATCTCGAGCCAAACGGGCCACGTGGTTATATGGCGTGGACGCGGAGCGTAACTCAATGAGTTGCCTCAATCTTTTGACCGGTGATCAAGCAGTTCCGGTTGAAACAGAGCCCCGACAGCGATGCCATCAACGCGCCGGCGTGCTCTTCATGCCTTCTGCTTCATTTCATGATACACGTGGCTGCGAGTGTCGCCGTACACCGCTGACTACCAGGAGTTTCGTTCCGTTCTTGGCCCTTCATGTGGGACAATGGACGAGGAACGGACGCTGACAGCATCGTCTGTTGTTTGCCTCAACGGGGGAATAGAGACGCGGAAAAAAGAACACCTGGGTTTTACCTTGGCAGAGGCATCGAGACGCTGAAGAACGCTCTCCGGTACCCGGCCCCACTTCCCGCCCGCTCGCCCAGTCTCATCCTGCTCGTTCCCGAGGGCGAGCACGGTTCCATTTTCTTCCAGCCGCAAGCCGATCGCTTGCATCAGTTCGACGCCCCCTAGAAGTCTGCAAATGCGAGGGTGTGTGGGCGTGGGAGAAAGGCGTGCTGATAAATAAGCCGGCTTCTGTCTTGGAAGAACAGTCAGCCATGAACCCATAAAGTAGGCGAGAATCTGTTGGGGGCTGAGTTGTCCTTGTCGTGGTTGTTGTTTTCTCCAACGCTCAAACTCGTCTACCAACATGCTTGTCTACAACCACGCCTGACTTTTAGGACATGCTTGCCTACACAACCATGCCCGACTGTTCGGATATCTCGTCACTAATCAGCCACCACCGAACCTACCTCCCGACCGTCGACGAGAACCTTTTGGAGTTGAGCGGGATCCGCCAGTGCAGCGGGGCCGTCGGCGAGTCCTTCACCCGGCGGCAGTAGTCCAGAGCAAACTCGGCCGCCGCGCGGCACTCGGCGGGAGACCCGGATAAACGGATCCGCCCGAACGCCGCGGCCACCTTGCTCGCGCCATCGTCCATAGCGACGTTTTTTTCCCCCGTGGCAGCCGCGGCGATGGAAATCGCTCCCTGTCGCTTCTGTGGGGGGGGGAGGATGAGCATGAGTCGTTGTGCCGACCACCGCTGGTGCTCGTTGGAAGGAGCGGCTCCCATTGTCGGTTGTATGTTTCGTGAGACACAGGGTCCGTTGGCGAATGCCGCAGGCTTGCTTACAGGCAGAAGGCTGCATTCGACCCTGGAGTGCCTCGCAGAACAGAAAACAATAGCAAGATACTTGCAGTGTGTAAGTGTGGTATTCCAGCTATTTTCCCGAGCGTAAAGCTGCCGTGACAAAGTCATTACAGCGACCAACCAAACGCCCTTACCGCGGTCATGCTGCCGGTTCCCCCGGTGGCGGACGCGGTGGCAACGGATGATGAGGCGGCGGCCCATCCGGGCGTGTCCGGCGGAATCAGGGCTTGGAAGGACGCGACGAACTCGTCGAGAGACACTCGCCCGTCCTGGCAGATGTCTCGTCGACGGATCCACGCCAAAACACTAGGAAGATTCGGTTTGGGTCAGTGGTGAGCCGTTAGAAGCGAGTGGCATATAGTCCACACTGGGTTCGGCTTTACATTGGAATAGGAGGATAACCGTAGGCTAGCTGTTGATGCGATACCACGATACCTCGTGAGGAGGAGACGGAGGGAACGAGGTTGTTGGTGCAATGTAGCACGGGTGCGACAGATAGTAAATTGATGGATGAACGGCACAGTGGGCGAGACCGGAGGATGAGGCTGATTTGAGAATGGCATCTTCCATCTGGTGGTTGTGCGCCGACCACGGTGGGGATGCTTCGTCCCCTCTGGCATAGCACCCAACCATGGCTACACAGCGAACATTTGGTCGTGCCAACGAGACAGTGCTCGGCAGAATAGCAGCTATTGATATCCCACATCGAAACGCGCTGAGTCCGATCTGGTTCTTGGAAACCGAGTGGTTGTTTTCGGCCTTGTACCCATCGCACGTATCACGTGCCTCAAATGCCCTGACTGCATAAGATTATCTACATAGCTTACTCACGTGCGATCGCTTGCGTCCCGACCCATGTTCCGAAACGCCAGCCCCAGATCCGCCGGTGTGATGTAGCCATCCCCGTCCATGTCCAATCGCGAAAACGCCTCCTTGATCATGGCTAGCTGTAGGCCCCGAGCCCCGCTTGCTGCCGCTGACCCCCCGCGATCGGCGGCCGCCAACAGCGCCGTCGCCGCCGCCGCACCGACGCTCCCCATCTCACCAACCCCGGACGCCCCACGCGGACGCCTTGACCGCGAGTCTCTGCCCCGGACGGTGCTAGGACCTTCGCTCTTTGCTCGTCTGCCGGGGGGCTGCTTCTGCTGTCGAGAGAGCGAAGAACCGCTCCCCGGCGGCGGCTCGGCCGTCGAGCTGCGGCGCTTCTGTATCAGACCATTTCTCGCAGTATCACCAGTACCAGCGGCGATGCCCTCTTCTCCCCCTGCTGGTGCTAAGTCCCTAGAGTCTTGGAGATCCGCGGCAGCTCGCCCCGGTGCGCTCTGCAGCGCGGCGGTGGTGGCTGCGGTGGCGGGCATGGCCTCGATGGCGGCCTCTAGGTCCGCCTTCCTCCGCCACAAGAACGCCTCCGTGGCCGGGTCTAGGGCCGGAAATCGGAAGTTTGCTGTTCCGACCTGTTCACAGCAGAGGTTTAGTTGTGTGGGCTTCGGTCCAAATACCGATTCGAACCTTCTCGGTGTTGTTCCAAAGCTCGTCCTCGTGACCCAGGGGTACGTCAGGCTGGATCCGAGGAGCCTCCCAAATCCGCAAAGTCGGCGGACGTACTTGACTATTTAGGTTGATAAATTGGTTGATTTGTAGGTTGTAGAAACGAGCAGAACTGGCATATCGCCCTTGACGATCACCTTGGGCCCCAAACGCTCTGTCGAACAACATCTAGTGCACTAACTGTTTAACTAGGGCGGCGAAGTATTCACCAACCGTAGCGGTGGCGCTCATTCGCCCCTTGATATCCGGAGATCACCAAACCCCTAACCTCTCCTACTCTCAAGGTACAAAAAACTCACTTCTTCTCGCTCCTTTTCAGCACCTCCCCCCACTTCCCGAAGAACGAATACTGTCCCCCTGCCTCGAGGCTCGAAGCCTATTGCCGTCATTGCCCCCTCGCAGCCCCCGAGACGCCCCAACGCCCGCTGGAACGCGGGATTTCCGGAGCGCACCCGGTGCACCCGAGGGTTTCGCGGGTCCTGGAGGGCGTTGGTGACGTAGGCTAGCAGGAGCTCGGCCGCGGCACGGACGGCGGCCGGGGGGGGTGGGGTGTCCGGAGATGACGAGGGGGACTCGCGCAAGGCTCGGAGCGCTGCGGACACGCTGGGAGCACCCTCTAACGCAAGGAGCTCCGCGTCCACCTTGGTTGATCGATCGTCGTGTGAGGTTGGGGTAAGGAGTTCTTTGTGGGCCATGTCTCCGGAATTGCGAATAGAAACGAATACGAGCCGTTCGCGCTCCTGAAGCAGGGGAGGCAACACTGATTTCCCATACAAACATGGACGGACGTGTTTCATCAACTAGTCGTTAATAAAATTTCACGTCCTTATGCACAATGTATGAAGTACCCAGCTTCATCACCTCCACGGATATTTGGCATGTATATTTTGAGCACCATCGATCTCAACCACTTAACACAACTTTTCGTGCATGTCTCATGAAGCACGGGGTTCATGACTTGCTTGAAGCATGATTTTTGAAGTGACTTCCATCCCCTGTGCATGCTTCATTCAACATGGAGCTAACCCCTTGCTGCGTGCTTTACGAAGCAGGATTCACCTCGTCTCGGGCCGCCCTTAGTATCTTCAGCTGCGCGGCTCCCACTGCTTTGATGGGTTTCCCGTTGGCGCCCAACGTGCCTTCCAAGACAAGCCACTGCTTGCGCTCTACTCCGCCGCCTCCTCCGGTGGGAGCAATCGAAGCAGCAGCCTGAGTAACAATTTGTACAAATGAGGATAGTGCGGAAGGTCGGTGGGTATTTTCAGCGGTCATTTTTGTCTTCGTCGTTTTCGAAAAGAGTGGCCAGCAACTTTTTTACAACGAGCGCCTTCGGCCAGCCAACCGTCATGTGACGAACGATGATGTGTACGGCCAATACTGTAGGTAGTTCGTATCCTCTCCCTGCTATTCCTTCCCTTCCCGCCCCCTCCTCCTTTTGTCCAGCCCGCCTGAAACCATTTCGTTGTCGCCAAGCAGTTTCTGTCTGAAATAGGGGCTAAACACCGGGGATTAGTTGAGAACGCCCAGGCGACGAGCAATAGAGGGAGTTACCCCCCCCCCCGCCATTCCAACTCAATCATGGACTTGTTCAAGCCGTCGTTGCCGCCCCCGCCACACTTGTCTTCACCTTCCCGGACGAGGACACGCCTCTTGTTCCCAGGCTGTTGGTACTGTCGTTCTTTCCAGCCTCGACTCTGAGTTCGTCGCAGAATCCGAGCGCCGCCAGAAGCTCCTTTCCCCCCTTGTGTCGGCCGAGCTGGTTGTGGTTTTTTCATGTTTGCAAAGAGGGGTGCACGTTGGCCGCGAAAGCAAAGGGGAGCCACAAGGTTGGATCGGCCTGCAGGTTGGATCGCTCGGAAACCCCCCACCCCGTGCCCAGCAAGCAGATGTTACAAGCGACCGAACGATACAGACGAAGAGTGGTCGGCATTTCTTCGGTTAAACCACGGTAGGCAGGCCACAAGGGCAACGAATACGGGTATGGGCGACGTACGGAGTAGAAAGGAGAGATTGGCATGAACATGGACACTCATACCGTTCCGTGCTGCACGCACACGGGTATTAACATTATTCGCGTGTTCACTCGCGTGTCCAGGGCATATTCCGGTGGGTGCATCGACCGCACAGAAGTGTCTGGGATACACTTGTAGGGCAAGGAAATCCTGCGGAGCGCCAGGAGCACACAGCAGGGCCGAGTACTGGTGCTGCACTAGCAATTATCCCGGAAATGCTTCTGTGCTTAACCTTCAACCTGGCAAGAACCTTATAATGTTCAGCACTACACGCCTGTGCCGGCTTTCTTATGACAAACTTATCAGGCTTACTGTGGAGCATTCCTCAAGGTTGTGAAAAATAGTATCTTAGCGAAGAAGGAGGAGTCGCTCTCAGCGTTCCACCATTGTAAGAAGCAGTCAAGCGATAGCGAGATGCCACCGATAAGGGCGTTTCGAATGCCCCACCGCTAATCAATCCGGATCACAACGTGCCCCCCAAAATGTGTTCCGATCGGCACCTGGTACATTTTCTACGAGTATCTCAGAACCATTTCCTGCACCTTGGCGAAGAAAGCGTCGTTCTGGGCGTTGATCCTCCAAAACCTTGCGTCCCCCGGAGCTGAAATGACGTTTTCCACGTATCTGTTAGGTGAAACGGTGAAACGGGTGGCTCGGAAGAATCGGAAGAGATACACCTCGTTTCAACCCAAAGGCATGTGTGGAGAATGGTGGGTGTTTCGTCCTTCTCCGAGTTGTTTTCGGGTTGTATTGTATACGTGAATGCAAGGAGCAGCGAATACCCCAGCTTTAAGAAAAAACGAAAGGTGAGGTAAGCACATGCGAACACTCGGCTGGGTCCATGTGTGTGCCGCAAGCAACAGATCGTATGTGTTGCCGGTTGCAGGCAGAGGAGCTAACCAATGTTGGCCTATGGCTCTCAAAAGCCACGAAATACATGTTTGAAGTCTCTGCAGATTGACTCATTAGTTTTCTTTCTTACATAGAAATCTTATGAGGTGCGGAAAAAGGAGCTAGGCGCTTCACTTTGCCAACACAGTATCCAATAAGGCTTCGTGTCGCATAGTCTTCGCGAGTGCAGAGTATTCCGTTCTAGTTTGCAACAACATACATGGACTACTCGTCAATGTAAAACTTTCATTAGTTTAGGGCGGCCATGCACCTTTTCGCCGCTTCCCCAGCAGCCCGAGCCTCGGCCGGCTGGGCGTGCAGACGCAGCTTGGCAAAGGCCTCCGCCACCGACGGTTTCACCGCGGCGCCGGCTCCCTCGAAAACGAACCCGAAAGCGGCAAGAATTTCCGCCAGGGAAGCCGAGCTCGACGGCGCCGGCAAGCCGCCGTCGTCCCCGTAATCTTCCGCAAACGCGACCCGCTGATGCTGCTGTCGACCCCATTCGGTACCACCTCGACTATTCATTTCGCGTCTTTGTGCCGACTTAGTTTCTGCTTCTGTGGCGCCCTTGTCGCCGGCGGCGAATCCAGTCCGCCCCCTCCTTTCTTGCCGTTGTCCGTGCTGGTGGCCGTTTCTCCCTTCGCTTGGTCTGCCACCGCTGGTATCGGCGATAAATCCTCCGCGGCAAAAGGCGGCGATCTGGGTTGCGCACGTTTTGGGATCCCTGCCAACCTTGGTCAAAAATTTTCCGATAACCTTCCTCGGGATCTCCCCGTCCCGGTCCTCGTCGAGTTCTGCGTTTGGTGGAAAAATTGCTTGAGTCAGGCTAGGTTGTGTTGTGTTGGGCAAAGTTGAAATGGGCGTGGTGGGTTGGGTTGGGACGGGCGGGCGCACATATACCGTCCAACGTCATAACTTGTGACGGGGCTTGCCAACGAGCAACAGATTTGAACCGGGGGGGGGGGGGGATACGTGGGTGACTTTCACGCG